CTCTCTCTCTCTCTCTCTCTCTCTCTTTCCCCCAAATAATGTAGCCCCTTCGCCTCCTGGGTTGGGCTCTTCCATCGACTGAAGAGGAAATTGAGGAGGAAGATGTCCTATTAAGCATAGGGTGTATTATAAGTTGAACCCGGATTCTTTGAATGGCTCCCTTCCTCCAGGAACGACTTGTGTCGAGGAAAAGAAAGACAGGCAGAAAGAAGAAGAAAGAGGGAGGGTGGAAGGAAGGAAGGAAGGAAGAGAAAGAAAGAGGGTGGGGGAGAGGGATGAAGGAAAGAAGGAAGGAAGGAAGGAAGGGAGGAAGAAAGGAAGGAAGGAAGGAAGGAAGGAAGGAAAATAATAATAAAAGCGACCAGGAGGTAAAAGAAGAAAAATCCAGACTGCCTTCAAAAGTTTTCGGCGGGGCGCCTCCTTGGAGAAGAAGGAAGACAAGAAGGATCGTCCATTAACCTTCAGCGCAAATGAAGGAGAAGAAGGGGGGGGCGCAAACTAGAACAATTGTCCGTTTCAGGAGCGCTCAGCAAAAGCTTGAGGGTCCTTGCTAATTTAGGAAAGACCCCCGCCGCCGTCGGGGATTCCTTCTCTTTCGGCTGGAGGCGGTGGGAGCGCACAACAGGTGACTTTCCCCTGAAGGAGGATCTCCCCACCCTCGCGGGCCAACCGGGGACAAGAGGTCCCCTTCGCGAGTCCCGCAGAAGCCTCCCCTCTCCCCGAAGCCCTCGGCGTCCCTCGGGGGAGGCCAGCGGGCGACGGGCGCCCGTCGGGACTGGCTTACCTGGGTTCCTGCCGAAGGCGCAGGGCTCGGCGGGGGCAGCTTTATCCCCGCGGGCGCGCTCCAGCAGCATGGCGCTGAGCTGCCCGGCCGGGGAAGAGACCTCCGGCCGGGGTCGGAGGAAGAGGGAGTTCGGCCGGGCGCCGGAATAGAGACACCCCTTCCCCTCCCCGAGCCTTGGCCCGAGGGACGGTGGCTGGCAACTCCGGGAGCCTACAACCGGAATACAAGAGAGCAGGTCGGGTGGCTGGCGAAGGGTTGGAGGGGGAGTGGCCGCGGGGAGGGGGCGATGGGGCGAGGGATTTCTCCCCCACCAACTGCCCCGCGTCACTTGAACGGCGCAGCCTCCCCCTCCTAATCGCTCCTCCTGTTGCCCCCGCCCTGTGAGCAAAACAAAGGCTGAGGGGGCAACGCGTCTCAGGAGGAGCTGTCCGCGGTGCTGAAGAGACATTATTCAGTCCCGGAAGCATGCAAGTGTGCAAAGAGGTTGGATTGGTATCTCTCCTGAAGCCAAGAAGGAAGACTCCGAGTTTTCACATGGATGCAGCATGCCTTTCACAGGCTAACTATTAGGCGAATGCAGACACAAAGGGAATAAAGAATGACAGAATTGGAAGGGACCTCAGAGGTCTTCTAGTCCAGTGTTTCTCAACCTTGGCAACTTGAAGTCCAGACATCTTCAAGTTGCCAAGGTTGA